ATCGCTCTCATATTATATGTAAAATTATTTTTTATTTAACTAAACGCCTTTTTTTCGATCGTACGGTACTATTCCTTAAAATCCCTTTGTTATACCAAGAGTAAGAGAAGGGAGGGGGGGGGTTAATCAATGCGACCTTAAAGAAAGGATCTATTGCCCTACCAAACTTGTTATACCAAACTTAATTATATTAATAGGATAATTTTTTTCTAAATTATCTATAAAATGTATTGTGTACAAAATTTCTCACCCTGTAGGTCTAAAAGACTGTACTTAAGATCATTATTGGTATAAAGAAACTTTTTCTATCGTAATTATGGGTATTTATTATTATAGGTTTTTTTGGCGCACTTAAAGATCACACACTATAATATAAAGAGTTCATAACACCTCTCGTAACACCTACAGTTGCAACTGTAAAAACTTCGTATATTTTGTGTCTAAATACGTTTGAGGTAAATTTAGACTGTTTTTACCTCTAAAAATATAAATGTCTATTTCGACGTTTTTTCTATTATACGAACTATTATCACGAGTTATTAGTTGAAGGTGTGTTTTGGGATATTTCCAAAAGTGCTACAGAAAACATAACCGAAAAAATGTTACATCTTGAGATCAAAAATTTAACTAAAACATAAACATCTGAAAATAAGATGGTGAATGTAACGGTTTTAACGAAATGCGAAAATATTTCATTCATACACACTGTTTACCTTTGGATATTTTTTATAATAGATTGAACCAAAAAAATGCATTTTATAATAATTTTCGCATGAAAATTGCTTAAAAATGATAATTTCTAAAACCAGAAAAAAAAATAAAAAAGCTCTGTAAACTTAATCGTTGTTTAATAACAACAGAACCATAAAATCAAAATACTACAGCTATTAAGAATTACACGGCTTAAAACACGCCGTGTAGCATAATAAATGTATTTTAGTAGCAGCGGTAGTCAATAGAAAATGATACAGCCTTTTAAAATACAAGGGGACTTATTTTTCATTTTTACAACCCTCTCGTTTAATTTTTATTTGGGCCTATCAATCAAAACCCTCTTATTTGGGTTCGAAAGATGGGAGAGAGTTTTCGGAATAACTCCTTTATTTTTACTTATTGAAAATATACTTGTATTTTTGTATTCATGTTAAAAAAATAGAAGTTGACAAGATTTCTACTAGTTTTACACATTTACTTAGGTTGGCATAATATACCATACGATGAAAAAAAAACGAAAAGAGATAGACTAGTTAAACAACAACAACGATTTTTGTTGAACTTTTGAACTGTTATTTCTAAGTTTTGGTAATTTGTATATCTTATTTAAAATGGGATGCAAATGTGTTTATTTATAAGGAAAAAAAAGATATTTATAGTATAAAAAATTAATTTATTTAACAAAATTTAATTAAAAATGTGACAAAATAGTTACCTTTCTATTGGTTCTATCGGACTTTTTTTGACTATATAAATCTTTATTTGTAAACTTTAATACATCAAATATTTTCAATCTAATAAATCATTTAATGATGTAAATAAGAGGAAATTTCTCACATGGGTGGTCAAATTTTATAGTTTTCATTATATCAAACAGCCTCTGAGAAATGTTTTCAACTCAAAATGCCTTTAATTATGTTTGACTACATCATTAAAAGGGTCTTCAAATACATCAATGTGATATTTGTCTAAAATTTGCAAAAGAATCCGAATCTCTGGATAACTCGAAATTATTTACCCATTTAAAAGCCTTTCATCATGAAAGTGGAAAAATTTGTTCATTTTATTTACAGGCTGGAAAAATTATTTATATTAAATTTTGATGAGTTTTGCACTGAAGAAAACATTCAGAGGCTGTTTGATATAATGAAAACTATAGAATTTGACCACCCATGTGAGAAATTTTCTCTTATTTACATCATTAAATTATTTATTAGATTGAAAATATTTTATGCATTAAAGTTTACAAAAATAAAGATTTATATAGTCGAAAAAGTCCGATAGAACCAATAGAAATGTAACTATTTTGTCACATCTTTAATTAAATTTTGTTAAATAAATTAATTTTTTATACTATAAATATCTTTTTTTTTTTCTAATCTCCTACGAGCTGATATAATATGACGAGCAATTTATTAAATTACTGTGAGATTATACAGAAAAGTCCACAGACTTCGAGACATAGGAAAATCAAGTCCATGTAGCGTGTGTCCAAATTTTGACAAGTCTTCAAAAATGACAGTTTTGTTTAGACTGACGTTTAATTTCACCTGACTTCTCGGTGAATGATTTCTTTTTATGGGGGTACATAAAATCTAAAATTTACGGCCATGAAGAAATTCAAAACTTGGAGCAGTCAAGGCAGAAAATATTTAATGCCTTTGACACTGTCACCCCTGATATGTTATCCAATGTGAGGAGGGGATTTTATGATTGTTTGGGTTATTGTTTAATGCAAGAGGGAGGCACTTTTGAACAATTTTTGTAATTTTTTAAATTTCATTATCCTGTTTTTTACCGTTTTCTCATTACCTACCTTGACGAACATGGGAAAACGAAGGTCCTTTTCAGGACCACAAATATTTTGATTGAGAAAATTGGTAACTTTTTTTTGGATTAAAAAACAAAAGTTGTTTATATAATACCAATTTAAAAGTGTTTTAGTAGTTTTAATACACACTATGATATAACATTTATTATTATTATAATGTACATTATTAATACTATTGATCATTCGAAATGGCATTAAGGCCCAATTGCAACAATCTATGATAGATGATATATCTCTCTTTCTCTATTGCCTCCTTTGTTTACCTTATGATTACCGTTTGATGCAATAGCTACAATAAGGGTATAGCCTTCAACAACAAATTTAATATAACCATATGATACCAGAAAGGGAAGACTGGAGTAAAAGTGTACCCATTCAAGCTGAGGCAACCTGGTATACAGACGGCTCGAAAACGTCAGAACGCGTAGGAGCTGATACTTCCACGTAAGCCTATCTAAGGATGTCACAATTTTCCAGGCATAAATAACGGCAATCCACTATTGTGTAGAAGAAATAATAAGGCAACAAAGAAAAAATCGTTCTATGGCCATCTTCACAGACAGTCAAGTAGCGCTAAAGGCACTCGGCTCCGAGGAGGTCAATTCTAGACTAGTGTGGGACTCTGAATACTTTAGACGAATGGAGCATTGTTACGTTAGCCTGGGTACCAGGACACAAGGGTCACAAGTGTAACAAAAAGGCAGATGAAAGGGCCCAGCAAGGCTCATCAATGCCATTCATAGGCCAAGAACCCTTCTGCGGCTTTGCAAAGGCGGTCACGAGAATGGCAACGGAACGATGAGTGGCCAACAAATCTCACCCAGAGACAGGCGAAAAAGTTGATTGTAGAACATTCGCCAAAATTCACGGTAGACTTGATAAGCATGCAAAGACAGAAAGACAGTCAAAGCTGTAGTGGGTGTACCAACAGGGCATTGTAAGCTGAATAGGCATCTAAAGCTGATGGGACTGACAGACGAAGCTATGTGTAGGTTCTGCCAATCTGAAGAAGAAACGTCAGAACACATTTTATGTCGGTGCGACAGCCTGGCAAATGTGCGGTTCTTGGTAATAGGCAATGATAGGATATTGTCAGGAAGCTACATGAAGGGTTCAGTCTCCAAGTTGCTAAACTTTGTGAAAAGGATAGGATTGGAGAATGTAATCTAAGGATCAGAAGAGGACCACAATAGATGTAGAAGAAGTTTTGCGACACCTAACCTCCACTTTTCTCTATTTAGCAAGAAATCATCAGGTATTTCTCTATTTTCTAGTTCTTTATCCACACCCTCCCTCCAGCTTCGTCGCGGCCTTCCTCTTTTATTTCTGCCCCGAGGTGTCCACAGTAAAATTTGTTTTGGTATTCTGCGATCGGGCATTCGTTGCACATGACCAAACCATATGAGTTGTTTTGTACTTATGTCATCCACAATTGTGTGTTCTGCTCCCATAATCTCTCTTACTCTGTCGTTGGTTATTTGTTCTCTTTTCGATTTTCCAGCAGATCTCCTCCAGTAATCCATTTCGGTCGCAATAGCATGTTCTCTGTTCTGCTTTTCAACTGCCATACTTCGCTTCCGTAAGTTATTATGCTTTTCACTACCGTATTATATATGTTCTTATTAGCTATAGAGATTCCTTGATTCCACAGTACACCATTCAACATAGATATTGCCCACCTACCTTGCATTATTCGATCTTTTATACCCTCATCGAGTTTTCCATCGTTAGTTATTTTTAATCCAAGATATTTATATTTGTCACAGTTTTTTTATTCACTAGAAAAGACTCCAAACGTAAAAGAGACCATAATCTACTCAAAGCTACAATAGTACACAAACCGAGAAGGCCCGATCTAGTTTCTAAATTGCCAATTCCTATTGTGAGGACCTAACCATGACCCTCCTTCCTCGAGTTGATGACTCGCTAACTAACCATGACCCTCCTTCCTCGAGTTGATGACTCGCTAACTCGATGTCCTTACATCATAAAAGTTCTGTCCAAGATGGTGCTGATACACCGCAAGGGTTAGTCGGTTCACTTCTACAGAGCGCCGCATGTAAAAGTAATGGAGACGAGGATACAATGGGTTGCCTCTTGGGTAAGATATTGCTTTAATTACACATCAATTGCATCTAACAACTCTAAAACTTAACACAGTCCATTATTACCATGACCATATGGTTAACATTGATTATATGGTTATAGACTTAACTAAATTCAAAAATTATTTACAAATTTTCCAAATAAAAACTGTATCTATCTATTCAATATCTATTTGACTTCTCACGCAAAGTGGCGATTAATTTCAATTTCCCAAAACCGATGAAAAAGTGTCCCGGACTTAATCAAACGTCAAGTAGGCTGTGCGGCGTTAAAAAACAAGTGCCGCCGCAACCGATACCGATGATGAATGAAAGCTCCACGCGCTTCCAGAGGCCAGCAAGCAAGAGAGTGACAAAAGTTGAAAACAGTTGAAGCTCGCTCTCGCTATAGTTAGCATCGCAGTGGTCCTCGAGGCTGATTCGATACTCTTTTTTTTTCTGTAATATTACCGATAACATTTTTCGAAAAAAAAAATTGGAAGAAAGTTTTTTCTGGAAGAGAAAAATAAAAGGATGATTTTTTTCTGAACGGGGTTTCCGTGTTTTTTTTTGGAAAAATTTAATTGGGTGAGTTTTTTAAAAATGTTTTTTTTATTTATTTTTTCTGGTTTTGTTAGTGCTTTCTATGTCTATCTTTTTTTTTCGTTTTTAAAAATGTATAGATATTTATTTTGGAAAAAATATAATTTAAAAAAAAACAAAAAATTTGTATAAATATCAATCAAAAACCTTATCATTATTACCATTTATTACCTAGCGTTTGAAAGTAAAAAAAATAAAATACGTATTTTTTTCAAAAATATTTTTCTTTTCATGTTTATATTTTTTTATTGTTCTAAATAAATATTCACTTTAAATTAAATAATTTCCTATGTTCAGCAAAATTTTCGATATTTTTTTATTTATTTTTATATTTTGGCTTTGTTAATGCTTTCTATATTTATCACATATCTTTTTTAAAAATTTAGTTTTCAATTTTTTAAAATATTATATTTAACTGAAAAACCTGTGTTTATAATTTAAAAGAGTATGATTTAAAAATACAGAAATTTGTTTAAATATCTGTTAAAACCTTACCAATATTACTTATAGTGTATGCTATTTAATTTTTCTATTTGTTTCATTTCTATGAAATTAATTTTTTTGTCAAAAATTTTTCTTAGTTTTATATTTTATTATTTTAATAGTTATATTTTGATAAAAAGAAGATATTGCCTAATAAATATTCAATTTAAATTAAATATTTGCTTATATGTCGTAAAATTTTCTTAATTTTATTATTTATTTTAAACTTTGGTTTTGTGTGTACTTCTTATGTTTGTCATATTTAAAAAAAAAATAATTTTTATTATTTAAAAATAATAAGAAATAATTTTTTTTTTAATTATTTTTTTTTTCAAAAATTTTGAAAAAAAAATGATTAAAAAACAAATTTATATAAATATCATTTAAAATCTTTTCAAATGATTTTTCAGAATTATAATTCTATTTTCCCCTTTTTGGTTTATTTAGCATCAGAAATAAGAATTAAAGATAATAACTGTGTATATAGGTACCATTAGCTTTTAGCAAATTTATATTATAGTTTTAAAAATGTTTTATATTTACTATTTTATTGCAAAAACGCAGTAAGCAATATTATTGATTTTAACTAGGACTTAGTAACCCATTATTTAACTCAATGTCTGATACAGAGGTAATAATTTACAGATTAAATTTTATAAAATATTTTTTATAATATTAATAATTTAGTACAAAATTCAGTAGCTTTCTGAGACATGCATCTTTACTAAACCTATTGAACCCTACTGAATAAGGGTTCAGAACCGGGAAATCCCAGTACCGAAAGTACCGGAAATGATGTATATGGAAATGATGGAATACCTCTTTGATGTCTCAAAAGAACCGGGACTCGAAATTATTAATTTCCGGTTCTTTCTGTACTTTCGGGACTCGGTAATAATAATTAAAAACATATTTTTTGTTACGTGCGGAAGATTTTTGATACTTTCTAGCGGTTGAAATCAAACTCTTCTAAAATAGTGATGCTATGTCTTACTGTTCTTGTTTCTAAAGTTATTTTGAAGTTCGAATATGTTATTTTATTATTTAGTATAATATTGCTGAATGTATTAGTTATATTTTTTTGTGTTATATTTTTATAGGCATTTGGATCTTTAATTGAAAATGTTAAGTTTTTTTTTCTAATTTAGTTAAGTTGGTTTCGAGGTTGGTTGATTTTGTTTGATGTAATTTTTAAGCTTCCTATGTGTTTTCTTTTTTTTTTTTTTTCGCTTGTGTTCATTATTTGTGTTCATGTTTACTTTCTGATGACTTAATAATTGGATAATACATATTTTCATTTGAAACTCAATTTTTTATCGGTTTTACTTTTGAGAACCATCCCTTGCTTGCTAATTGACGAACTCCACAATAGTTGAACGAAAATATTTTAGTACGCTTCTGGAAAATCTAATTAATGCTACCAATTAGGGTTCAGATCTTTTTGGCCATTACAGAACCGGGCCTCGGTAACAATAATTAAAAAAATATTTTTTTTGTTACGTGAGAGAGTCCTTTGATACTTTAAATATTTTGAAATAAGTAATGATGCTGTTTCTTATTGTTCTTGTTTCTTTTCTCTTTTGAAATTCCTATAATATTTATTATATTATGTTTTAATAGATATATGCATTTTTAATTCAACATCTTAGGGCTTTTGCCTCAAAAGTTAGTTTATGTCGTTTGATGTGAAATTTAAGTTACCTATACTTTTTTCTTTACTTGTGTTTATGTTTGTGTCCGTGTTATTTTTTTCATGACTAATTACTTAATAATTTGATATTATTTTTATTAAAAATCTCAATTTTTTATTCATCTTCCCTTGCTTTCTGATTGGTGGACTGCACCACCATTGAACAAAAATCAGTCAGCACCGAAAGTACCGAAAAAAAAGGGGAAATTCCGGTTCCTAAGAGACGCGGTATTAGTGTTCCGGACTGAACATTAGGGTTAACTGAATATTAGGGTTCCGGAAATCCTAATATTCAGTTAAAGCAACAAAAGTGGATAGAACTTCTGGACTTAAAACTTAAAACCATCTATTTTCAACTTATTTTCATAGAGTTTTCAATGAGAGTCAGATTAGAAAAAAGCAATAAGCCCTATTTCATAGGGGTGCGTGTTCATGAGGACCAAAAACAGTCATGCGTTTAATGCTAAAATTGCTGTAAATCGTTACTGTCTTCTTCCAGAGCGAATATCTTCAATAAAAATAAAGATATTGAAATGAACCAAAAATGAGAGAATAGATGCTTCTTGATGATAAAGTGATTTTTAAATTCCTTACTTTGTTAAACAATTCCATATTGTTACAACAATTTGTTTTTTCATCGTATAATAAACAAATGAGGACTAAAAAGTTAAATAATAAAGAGACAAACTGCTGAAAAAATTATCAAAATCGACTGACCAGAATAAAACATATTTAACTATTATAATTATAATTTAAATTTTAAGTACAAACATTTTAAGGTGTCTCTTTTTCGTTAGACGGTCAGTGTTAATATAATTCCCAAAGCATAAAATAACAATAAATACTAGAAAGTAAAAAATGTTGCAACAATTTGTCAATCGTACAACAAATTAATGTTTCCGCTAATAAGTGTAGTTGTAGAATGCATCCCAATTAATTTTAAATGTTTATTTAATAGCCAAATAAACAGCGTAACATAAAAACCGGCAGCGGAACTTGATACACCTATAATAAAAATTCATGATGTATGAAAACAGTACCAGATACATGAATTTAAAATGCATCGTACCCTATAGTTATGTGACGAACATATTCTACCATGTAACTGTTTGTACATAATTGAAATATACAACAGGATAGATGCTATATTATATGTAGATATCAAATAGCACTATCGTTTAGGCTGTTTGGATCGGCATAATTTTTTTGCTTGGACATCTTCTCGTGATGAGAGAGAAGATGTCCAAGCCAATGTTCTAGTAGATGATACACCTATGGAGAGAGTACAAACATATAAATATCTAGGCAGTTGGTTGACCGAAAACTTGGATCAATCAGCAGAAATAAAAGCTCGAATAGAAATAGCCAGAGCATCCTTTGTAAAACTCAAAAAATGTCTGCAGTGGAGACATCAACTTAAAGCTTAGATTCAGAATGCTAAGAGGTATATATTTGTAACTCTACTCTATGGTTCAGAGGCTTGGACACTTAAAAAGACCGAAATGGTGAAGCTTGGGGCATTCGAAAGATGTTATCGGCGTATGCTGAGGATTGCATGGACTGACAAGGTTACAAATGTAGAACTGCGACGCAGAATTCAGAAGGATGAAGAGGTGTTTAACACCCTTAAAAAGAGAAAACTTGAGTACTTTGGACACATAATGAGAGGACCTAAATATGCTCTGCTGCAGAACATAATAGAAGGAAAGATAAAGGGGCAGAAGGAGCCAAGGAAGAAGAAGAACATCATGGCTCAAGAATTTGAGAGAATGGTTTGGAATGAGCCAGCTTCAAACCAGTTATTCAGAGCAGCCGTTAACAAAGTTAGAATTGCCATGATGATTTCCAACTTCCATTAGGAGATGGAACCCGAAGAAGAAGAAGAATTTTTTTGCTAAAAAGTGATTTAAAAACTTTATTTTATTTATATCGAAATTTTCCACTCCAAAAGAGCGACGCATCTTCTAAAGAAAAGAAAATTTTGGGAAAGCTATATTTTTGCCGCCTTTCTGGACTTCATTTCATTGTACAGAAACATTTTGCAATATCATGCCACACATTCACATGGTGCTCCATTTTTCTGGGGCATTTTATACTAGCTCATCTCTACTTAGACTTATTTTGTTCATTATCATCTAGGTGCATATTTTCTTGATAGCTTATTTTTTTGGTTCATCACAATAGCTTTATTTTTGTTGGAAATATTCGTTTTTGAAGAAGACAAGGCCTGCTTTGGGACCACAATTTACTAGGTCTGTTGACTGGGACCAAAAGAAAAGGCATGATTTTAATGTAAAAATTACGAAAAAAGTGTCTTCTTCAAAAGCGAATACATATCTCCTTCTTCTTCTTAAAGTGCCTTCTCCATTCAGTGAAGATCGGCAACAACCATGGCAAATTCCTCTCTATTTTTCGCTCTTCTCAGCAAAGTATGTGAGTCCAGGCCTGTCCAATCTCTGATGTTCTTCAGCCAGGAGCATTGCCGTCGTCCGGGTCCGCGCTTTCCCTCAATTTTACCCTCGATGATGAGCTGAAGGAATTCATACTTGCTATGTCTCATGATATGGCCCAAATAGGCTGCTTTCCTCTTTTTTATTATGTCGAGGAGTTCTCGGTCCTTGTTCATTTGGTTTAGAACTCGTTCATTCGAGACACGGTCAGTCCATGGTATTCTCAGCATTCTGCGATATACCCACATCTCAAATGCTTCCAACTTATTCATTGCGCTTACTTTGAGTGTCCACGACTCAACCCCGTAGAGAAGTGTGGAAAGTACGTAGCACTTGACGAAGTTGTCTTTTATATGGATGTT